TATATATATAATTAATTTTAATATATATTTAATTTATCTAAATTGATCTTGATGAGAAAAAAAATTCTATTTCTAATCCTCGATTTACTTAAAATCTAATAAATATTATATCTAGACATCAATTAAATATAACATGACATCAATGTATAATTTCGCACTCAGCAATATGTTATGTAACACCATGTATTATATTACATTTATATATTGTTGAATTTATAACTCCGATGTGCCAATGAAGGCATCTAACATATAGAAAGAAAAAAATATTTTCAATCTATCTCAATCCTACATTGTAGACTATTTACATATCCCAGACACTAAAGTTATATTTACAACACGTTAAACTATATGAAATGTAAATAATAATATTAAAGAAATAAAATAAGCGAAAAAGGAATTTGTATCACAGTCTCTCACATGCACTACATGTATATTGCGTGAATCTGCATTTCCTGTCTCGAAACTTATTTTTCTTTCTAGAAAATGTAATTGCATGTATATTTTATTCTGGTAAACATCCGGTAATAAAAGAAGTGATGAAAGGGGAATAAAAAAACAGCGTACATAATTAATTATCGCATTATACGTAGACGAGGTTTGAGGATTGAGACAATGTTTTTCTTTATTTCCGTGCTTCCCCTTATTTATGTATTTGTGACAATAAATTACTTGCTGCCATTGATATATCTACGACATTGCGTTCATTCGTAATATGGTGCATTGTACCGCCTCGTGAAAAGTCTCGTTCACGTGGCAATTACTATCATGTTTAACGAGAAAGAGAGAGGGGGGAGGAGGATGGAGGGGGGAGGGGGGGCAATTGAAGCTCACCGATAAGAAGATACCGCGTTCCTCGCTCTACTCCCCCCCCCCATGAATGCAATGTTGACGTTGAACTTATATATAGTTCAACGTCACACGCGCAAAAGATAAAAAAAAAAAAGAGAAAAGAGATACTAGAAGTCCGTCGCGGTCAAAGTATGATTTCTTGATAATTATCACGCTAAATAATTAATGATAAAAAATATTGCGATTTCTTCTACGAATTAGCGATTGCATCTACTCGTTTCAGTTCGGTTGCACTATGTAGTTTTCTTCGCATAATGGAGACATATAATTAAAAAAGGAGATGATTAACGCATTCAGATTTTTGGTCGCAAATAGAAATATTGCTGATCAGACTTAATACATACTTGATAGAAATTTTGTTTCTAACATTATAAATGCTGGCCCGATCGAGAAGCCAGACATAAAAATATTATCAAAAGAATCATTTTGATAAATGATCAAATTGTGATAAAATTTGTTAAATGCAAATAAGGAAAATCGAATGGTTAATTACGAGCAGATTAAAGATCGTGTTGCAGTATAAAACAAACATTAGCCGTATTCAGAGAAAGTAGCTTTACAACTGTTGTCTTTAATATGATTGGTTTATTTAGATTCGGTGAGAAACTGAAGGCCAGATCAATCGTATTAAAAAAATTTTACAACAATTACAAAGCTGTATTATTTGCTGAACGATTTATTCTCATTTCATGGCGATGATAAAACGCAAAAAAATAATGAAACAAATGAAATCTTAACAAACGTATGTTTTGATTGTCCTTCAGCAAATAAATTAAAATTAAACAATTTCTAAACGAAAAATTAATTTATTTCTTGAGAAAGACGCAACAATATAATTATAAATAATTAAGAATGTTATAAGAATGCTGAACAATAATAAATACTAATAATAAATAAAGAAAAAACGGGCGATTAAGAGCCTTAATACGATAATTGGTGCGAATTAAATTAACATATATTTCAATCTTACATAAATATGAAAATCGTATATTTCGGCTCAATTCGAGCAGTCTTATATGTATAATAAAATCGTTTTTTCTTTATTTATTATTTGTTTAATATATCTCAAGAGCTCATCTTAAGAGCTGATTATTCGCTTTTTTAATAAACACTAAATTATAATGAAAAAGGTCATGATTAAAGTCAGATAAAATATCCAAATTTTTAACCTAATGTAGATAAGTTGCAAATTTATCTATAATTAAAATCTAAACAAAACAAACATATAACTCGTTAAAAAATATATAACAAATAAACAAACGTACATTAACAAACATATAACTCGTTGAAGAGCGAGAAATTGTTGTGTCCAAATCTCAAATGTCGTCCAATAAAAAGCAAAAGTCCTTGATGTCTACACTGAAAAAAAATTATCTAAATCTAAGTAATTTTTTTCTAAAATAGTTCTAAATAAATATTTCTTTATTGCGCAAAAATATTTATACTAAATGTGAACATTACTTGTTCACATGTTACTTGTTGACATTTAATAAATATTTATTTGCAGCAAAGAAACTTGTTTACTTGGAAAAGAAAAAAATTACTTGGATTTAGAAAAATTTTTTCAGTGTGAAGAATTGTGATCGTGTCGAATTGTGATAAGGATTTTAAAGTTTTGAGATATGTGCAATAAAATATAAAATAATACATACACACACAAGATATACAAGTTCTACATTACATCAAGGACTTCTTGATTTTAATCAATTAGTCATCATATAAATAAGAGATCCTTAAGTTAATTTAGAAATACGTGTATAAATAGATTTCATTAATTTTATTATTTCTTTGCTTCACCATGGAATGAGATAAATATTTGTTTCTTTTTTTTATAATATGATTTATAATCTGTTCGTAATTGACTATTCGATTTTCTTTATTTGAATTTTGATGAATCCTGGGATCTTATATGTAGAAACATTCCGATTTGCTCTGCGATATATGCGTGTTAAAGTTATTCGTTATTAAGTTTAGATCATATATTAAGCCTTGTGTCCGATGTTAGAAATTGATATGAAATCTTGGATGAAAAAAACATTAACAAATCATTTGAACAATTCGAACAATTGATCAATGCAATTGATCAATTTCGTCTCCGTCTGAAATCTTGGAGCAATTTGTTGCATCGAGGACACAATTCTTTAAGTCCGTGTCACACTACGCATTGAAGATTGCGAATTAGAGAATTAGAGATAATAGAGATTAAAATTAAAGCCAACCAGAATGAAACAGATTAAAATTATAATTTTCCGATTCGTCAAATTCTCTAATTCATAATCCTCAATTTCCAGCATATAGTATGACACGGGTTTTAGAATAATATTCGGACTGCGTTCTGTTGCATGCATAATACGCATGAAATATCATTTTTTATCTTTGTTCGCAGAATATTAAACAAGAATAAAATGATACATCATGCGCATTATGCAATGAAACGCAGTTTTGTCTGCTTATAATGCCGCATGCGCATTAATACGCGAAAAAATTTGGAGTTTCAGAAAATATATACATACATAAAAAGCACACATACGTCAAGATACGCCAAGATACGCGGCATATGAAATTGTAAGTAGAAATCTATTTTAAGATCCGACATAATTTATAATTATACAGGCTTTAGAGAGGACATATATTTAAAAAAAACCAATTGATTACATGTATTAACCTAATTAACCAACGAAGACATTCTATTTGCATTCACATTGACAAGAATATTAAATAATAATTGATAATACCAATTACTTTAACAATTCTTCCATTGAATATTTTTTCCTTGTGTTAGTCCATTATGTATGATATTCAGTCATTAGGCAATAAAATTTTAATTAATACAAACAATAAGAATCTTATTTTAGATTGTATATGAAAACAAAATCGATAAACTAGAAATTAAATGCCTATAACATTCGAAGCATCTTTAATGCTTAAATGATTCAATGTGAATTTTATATATTATATTATTTTATATATTATATATTATATACTATATATTATATTATATGTATGTACATATATTGGGTTGTCCGGAAAGTTCGTATCGCAAAAGATTTAAATTTAATAAATGAAATTAAAAATTTAAATCTTCTGCGTTTCAATTTTCCTTCAAAATCGGCACGAATTTTCCGGATAACCCAATACATACCATTTATTTGTAGTTCATTCGAACTGTGCGTCGAATTGATTTTCTGAACTTATAAATGTAATTAAACTACTGTAATAATATCACAAATTAAATTAAATTGACAAGCAATTTTTAATAATTCGATGCTCAATCAGACATTACATTAGAAAGATTTTATTGTGCTGAAAAACTATAATTAGTATTATCATCTATATTATAACTATACTATAAGTAATTAATAAAAGAATAATTTTATTCAATAGTTAAAAGAATAATAGTAATTAATAGTTGATAGATTTTATTAATAATAGTTTTAAAACAGAATTAAATAATTTCTTAGAGAAAAAGACTCATTATACATTAATTGGAATTCTCGTAGATTCAATCAGAAAGATACAAATCAGATACTTGTAATTAAATCTATCAAACATTCTAATCGAAATAATCAAAAATTCAATTATGATTATCAGAATTCGTTTTACTCACTATTTCTTGTTGATTCGCATTATAAATTTTGTTTTATAGAAAGCTATTATATAATTACACGTAGAATATTTCTGTAAAAGTAGTTCTTTTTTTCTTCATTTGTCATTTTTATATATATTGTAAATTTTAGTTATTACCTTGCAACTGTAAGAACTCAAGATAGCTAAATATAATTATCTGTTAATGCAAAGTAATTTCAAAACTAATATTACATCTTAAAGATTTAATACATACTTTTATTATACGTAATAAATAAAAAAAAAATCAAGATATGAATGAAGAAAAAAAACATTTTATTTTTACGAAAAAAAAGAAAAAGCTTCGCAAGTATAAATTTAATGCATCCTCTACAATATATACAGCAAGCTTAGTATAACAAGTAAGAGTAAAAGATTGACTAATTATAATTGTGAGAAAAATAATCGACTGCGATTGGTCAATTTCTTACTCCTATTTTTTATACCAAACTTATTTCACATATTATATATATTATATATATAAGACGCATTAAAGCTCTATATTTTTTAGATTGAAGCCTTACTCTAAAGAATGAAAAAAAGTTCAATTTTCAATCTTTAAAAGTGAAATTCTATTCTTCAGGAGTGCATTCCAAAACTCGACTCTGTCAATTCCGAGTATCTTTCATCCTTATTTAACACTTTGTAAACAAAGGATCTGTTTTTTATGGCTAAACTAGTGTACACTTTTGGACTCAGGTATGTGTTTAATATTTGGAGAAAGCGAGAAAGAGAGTTCTAATGTAGTCCAATACAGAAATAAAAAACAAGGCCTAAGATGATACTCGGTGACAGAGTTAAATTTTGGAACGTTCAGAATGACAATTCAGGTAAACATTTCAGAGAGTAAAAGATTAAGAGCTCAAATGTGCCGCCTCGCTCTGCGGAAATGAAGCCGAGGCAGACGTGTTCTTTCCGCATTTATCCGATTTGTCGTCGAGGCGCGACGTCGCGCGGCGCCGAGCGACGAGAGAACGATGCGCGCGATAATACGTTTGTTTAACAGATTCCAGTGGAGAGCACTCCAAAGATCAGGTGGTCCTCGGTGGCACGTTGACAATCACGTGAATTTGCAAGCAGCACGCTGGGTGACGTCTACACCTACACCAGTGAGAATTCGTGTTATTCGTGATCAGATTCGCCGTGCTGTCGCAAGAGCAACGCGACTTCTCTTCTTTGCGTGCGCGCATTAATCTGTGACACACGATTACTGCATTAAACGTCACCGACAATCACGTGATCTTGATTGACGACTTTTTTTTCTTGCGCTGCACCTTCCTGAGGAACGAAGGTTGCATAAATTCACATAAATTCGCGACAGTACCGAAATCAGTCATCTTTCGATGCATCGTATTATCTGAGATCATCGTCTCAGACTTGAACTTTATCGAGTCTTATTTTTAGCAGCACGACGTCAAATCGAACGCTGAACTGGAGCGGGTCAGTCCGGATCACGTGATTCAGTGTTTGAGGCAAATTAGCGCCATTATTGCCATTAGCGCCGTTAGCGGTCTAGTCTAGTGGTCTAGTTGAGTGTGAATTTAGTATAATTTAGTACTCTAGTGTAGTATAGTGTACTTATATATAGAAATCTGTGGGGACTCTGTGGATGACAATTGGCATTGGTGACAGTCGGCGTATATGAAAAGAGATCTTACACGTGCGCGAATATCGTCAGATAAGGTTTTTTTGTCTTACTTAAACGGCATTTTATCGTACACAGGAAGACGCAACTCGATCGAAAATTATGGATACGAGAATACAGTATCCTGAGGCGCGCAGGGATGAGAGCGTCGTCGACGATTATCACGGCGTTAAGGTTAGGATGCATGTCGTAGTTTTTCGTTAATTTCAAATCAAAGAATATCAAATCAAAGAATGTGAAACCTAGTTTTCATGATAAGATATATAACACTTACTCTCCGTCTGCAATTTGGATTCGATTAATATTATAATATTTTGAAATGAGGTGAAAATTACAAAAGTAAATGAATTTATAATACTAAAATATTTATAATTTTATTAATCAATATCTAAATTTGTAATTTTCATCTTTTAAAATATTCAATCGATTCTGTGGATCTTTCTTGGCACAAACGAGATTTCATTCTCAAATTTCACCTTCATTTGTGCTCAAATTTCAATTTTTATTAAATAAGAGTTTTAACATTTGAGTTGAAAAACTATTTGATAATGAATAGAGACATTGAAGAGCAATCTTCAATTTTTTTGAAAATTAGAACTAAAATACTTGTTAGACAAAAAGATGTAGATTGCAGAAAGGAGTGATTGCAGGAGAATTAATAATGTATATTAATATTTAACTCAAATGTTAATGTATTTTGAATCTTGACGGTATTTCGATGAACATTAAATTTTGTTATTAAATACAACAATTAGCCTTTATAAAAAAATTGTGAAGAAGGGTACGAAGTCTTATTCTTTTTCAATACTTCAGAATTAAACTTCTTGCATGGTTCATTTTTTTCCTTTTTAGAGAAAAAAAGATGAAAGATGAATTGTAAGAAGTTAAAAGATGAAAGATGAATTGTAAGAAGTTAAGTCAGGGATATGGAAAAAGAACAGACGTAAGTATTTCAGGATTTAATAGATAAACTATAGGAATAAATGGAAATGGATAAGAAAAAAAAAAGAATTTGGCTTTATTATGAAATTGCTTTATTATGAAATTATAAAAACAAATATTAAACATTTTAGTGGCATTTTTATAGCACTTACTATTTTATGACTATGGGAATCTAACAGTTATTCTTTTCGTAGGGTAACTATTGTTTCAAAGTTAAACAAATATCATATTTACATACTAAAATAGTAAATATGATGTGAATATGTACACAAGATAAATACGTTTGACCTTTGCTTCTATATTCTGTATAATAGAAAATCCTTGTCCTGTTAATATTTGTATATAAGTTTAAAATTTTTTTTTTATTTTCACTTGTAGAATACTGTGTACTTGTAGAATCCTGTCTTTGTTAAATCCTGAAATATCTTCTATAATGAGCATAATTAAAATTTAATATTTTAATCCTTTGTCTATAGATATATATTTTATGCTCTGCAATCTTTTTGGTCCAGCTTAGGTTTTTTTTATTGTTTTAGGCTTTCAAAAATTGTGAAAAAATTCAATTATTTTTCAATTCTTTATATTCTCTATATCAAAGTTTTTAATCTAAATGTTTATTTAATAAAAATTGAAATTTGAGTCAAATTTTGCTTGTGTAAAAAAAACTCAGATTGCAAATGGAGAATTAAGTTTTAATACACAGTTATGTTTTTAATACTATAGTTACTTAAGAAGGGATGACTTTTAAATATATTTAAAATAAAATACATTTTATGCATAATAACAATAAATGCAATAATAACAATAAATATAATAGCGATATTACAGAAGATTTTATAAGAGTAAAGAATGTTATATAACATTTGAATGTAAAAAGTTATATAAATATCATAAAAATCAATATTTTGTTTGTAGATAAGTGATCCTTATAGATGGCTGGAAGATCCAGATTCACCAGAAACAAAAGCTTTTGTTGATGCTCAAAACGCCATTACTAAACCATATTTAACTGCGTGTAAAGCTCGTGACAATATTCATGATCGTTTGAAGCAATTATGGGATTTTCCAAAGTACTCGTGTCCTGCCAAGCATGGTGAAAAATATTACTTTTATAAAAATTCTGGTTTGCAAAACCAAAGGTATAATTTAAATTTTTAATTACTAATATATATAT